GATTACTCTAATTCTCTTCTCAAATTCTAATTAAAACTTATTTATATATTTTATTAATTATTCTTTTAAGCAAGTATCCTACAAGTTGAATGCAAAAATGTTGATACTATTTGTATTAGGAGATGTAAGAATGTTGATGCTACTCTAGTCTAAAGAACTTATATGCACAATCTTTTTATAACTGTAACTTTTTGTAATAACTACTTGTTATATATAGTGTCTGTACTTTATAATTGAATCTCTTTTTAAAAATTCTTTTTATCCAAATTTGTATTTGCATTTAGACTTTTTTACAGAGTTTTGTATCTGATTAATAGCTTAAATAAGTTACAAAAACAAAATTGTCTTTAATCTAATTTGAACTATTAACTTTGTAAAGAGTTTGGAAACTTATCTGCTAAGCTACCCATTGCCAAATACTATTTAGTAATTAGTAAACTTTATAATACAATAAATAATCTAAAAATAGGACACTATTCAGATATAATCAAAGTTATATATGCAATTTGTAAAATAAATTCTTCAATTTTTACATCAAAAAATGTAATAAACATTATATTAGCAATAAACTATTTGATTAATTTAGAAACAAATAATACAATATATTAATTAGGCCTATTTAAGACAATTACCTTTTTATATGTTCTGTGTACAGTTTGTAGATCAAGCAATTTGACAAGAATCAAACTAATATCTACTGAAATACATGAAAAAAAATTTTATTTACTATAGATAATTCTAAAAAATCAAATATTTCAGTTTTATATAAAGAAAAGAAACCCAAAACCAAAAATATTAGATACTATAAAGAAGATTTAAATTTTATTTAACTTTTATTATGTTATTTATAATTAATAAACCAAAAAACTTACATACTATGATACAAAAGAAAACGTTATTTTTAACATCTACCTACCTATTTAGACCAACTTCTACAGATATAATTGCCTAATAAATAAAGAATATTTTAATAATTGCAAGTTCAAATGCAAAAATCAAAGATTTACAAACAATTTAATCTTTTAGCTCAAGACTTTGATGTTGACATAACTATAATACTGACACTAGGCAACTGATCTAGATATGAAGTTTACCAAAAAATTTATTAATGGAATATAAGAAGAATGCTAGAAGAAATCAAAGATTATTAAACAAGCAAAATTGTACATTGAAAATATCATAAATACTTCACAGAATACACATGATATTCTATATTAGAGCAAGTAAAATACATTTTTCACAATGTTCGAGTTTATGAAAATCATTGTAAAATGTATGAACAAGCGAAGATATTAACTATCACATACATCTTATTCTTAAAATGCACATAACATATTATCATTCTATTAGAACTAGACAATTAACCCACCCAATGTATATAACTCCAAAATAAGAACGGCCTAAAGAAGTTAGAATAGGTGCAAAGTTATATATTTAGCAAAAAAAAAAAAAATCAAATCATATAATGTATTACTTACTTAATGTACTCTAAATTTGGAGCCAGCCAATAATAAAATGGCCACACTATACGTGATATTCACATTTTACAAAACTCGATCATTGTGAAAAATCTAAATTATTGAAATTCATTGAGATATAGGTCTTGAAAAAAGTTAAGCAACCAAATTTTTTTTAAAAGACAGATTTGGTGGTTTCTACTTTTGAGGGCCCACATAACCCCAATTTTTTATTATGCAAATCGACTTTCATTTATAATTGAAAAATGTCAATCATGTCAAATTTATATGAATATAATAAAAACTCATTTTTCAAAAAAATGTAAAAATGGGCTGTTTCTATTGTTCGCACCCCATATGAGAAATATGAAAATCCGTGTATTTTCCTCGTAATAACTCAAACGCGTGATGAACAATCTTCCGCTTGCCTTCGAGGGTATATATTTTTAAAATAGAAATACACCGGTTTTTTATATTGGTTTTACTGACTCTTTTTTAGAAATTAAAAAGTACATTGAGCAGGCTTCGGAATGTAGCACTGTTCCATCTCTTTCGTGATTTGTCAAGCAAAGTACTGATTAAGTAGTTCGCTCTCCTCCAAAATGGACTGATTTCAATAGTTTAGATGGCACATGGACAAAACGGTTTATGACAACTGTAGAAATACTTAACGTGAAGGAAAGTATAAAATGGTGAAATTTTGTGCATTTATAGCATCCCAGTCAGGTTTCGCCCTTTACTGCGGGTTGTTAGGTATCGCCCTCACCAGAGTGATGATGAGGAAAGCTCCAATCAGGTTTCGCCCTGGATTTGTGGGTAGTTAGGTGTCGCCCTCAACCCCATAATTGCGATGATGCAACTTCTTTGATTTATTATTAGTTACTTAGTTGCTAGAAAAATCTCTTACTAATTGTCTTTAAAATTTTAAATATAAGATTAAAATTGACGCACCTGATTGGAATAGTATTATCGAAATGAGAAATTATCAGATACAGTATCATTTATGGTATTAATCTTCCTTGGACCTTTGATGCAATTTGGGATCGCTATACGGAATATATATTTAGTATAATATCTTATACGTATACGGGATATGCCTTGGGAAATGATATGGAATCTATAAATGAACAGCTTAATTCCATATACATATTCCGTATATAACATACGGAATTTTCGGCAAATTCCGTATGTAATACGGAATTATACTAATTGTATATTCCGTATGTCATACGGAATTATACTAAATATATATTCCATATAATTCATTTTATTTTAGAATGATCTTAAGACGGGTGATCATTTATATAAATTCTTAAATGATTATTATTCAGTATAAATAGCGATAGTTCTTTATTCTGTTTAAAATTTATAAAATATATATATATTTTTTTTATTTTTGCAGAATTCTAAATCTGTTATTAATGATCACAATGTGAGTCGCAAGGAAGAACTTTAGCTGGTATGGTCGTAAAGACGAGATTATGTATTCAGGTTATATTGTGGAATCGAATATGTAAGAGTAAATCTTGCATTAGCTGACTTGTTAAATGATATTAAAGAAAAAAAAAATCTTACTAGATAGGTTATGTTATTTTCTATACTTTTAATTACTATATAATTAAGATTCTATATTAATGCTAAATTTCAAAATCATTTCTTTTCATGATGTATATTGATATTATTAAAATCCATTTACCTTAATTAACCAATCACATTAATTTGCTATCAATTATCATGTGATTCAAACAATTTATGTAACAATTAAATTTCACCAGCCTGTATCGGTATATTTTTATATCGTTTGAGTTTAAAGCGAAATTAAATGTTACATCAATATTTATTAAAGTGTATCGCAATAGTATAAAATGAAATAGGTGCCGCCAAGGGAAAACAACACAACCCCTAAAAAAAAAAAAAATCAAATAGGTAAGAAATAAACTTGATGTCCCGATGACAGGTTTTTTGTGGTACCAAATAATCAATCAAATTTTATTTTAAAATAAATGATTACGATTCGTGTGAAAAGTGAATCAGAATAATGTGTACCAATTAACGTTAACCATGCAACGTTCATTGGAGATATGCAAATTGACAAATAAAAACATTTTCGATATTCATATATATAAATTTTATATAGAATTAGGTTTCATACTAGTAAATACTTGTAAACTGAAGCATAAATCGAACAGATAACTGTTATATGAAAGATATTCAGTTGGCAAGCTGATTACTTTTTCCTATTCGAAGAACAAATCAATTTGAAGTGGTCAAAGATTAAATTTGTAGCCATAAAATGAAATCTCAAATCAATTTTAAGTTATAAAGCCATGTTATCAATAGTAAGTTGCACATTTCGATCCAAAAAATTTTTTGTTAGAAAAAATGTGAAATGTTTTATGATTATGAAGAATTAGCATGTTTAATCTAGTATATTATCTGGTACATATCTGGTTGTTTAGAAATTGTAAATCTGGAGCTTAAACTCAAATAATGAATTCGATTTGCAAATACATGATTATATGACATACCTTTCAAGCTCAAACTAGAGGTTGAAATCAGTACAGTAAAACATAAATTGGTATTTTATGCCAACCCTTGTTTGAGTTAGTATATGTAATAAATTACAATCATAAGACATAAGAATATTTTTCAGATATTTACAATAAACTTTTATATAAAATACAAATTTATTTAAAAACCAGGTTTACAAAATTCAAAAATATAATAATATTGCAATGCAATAAAATTTCTAGCTTGCAAAAGTAAATATGATTATCATTATATATAGAAAAATCGGATACAAGAGCTTCTTTTTTTTTTTTTGTTTTTATTTTGTACAATATACATCACACACCACACAAAAAAATAATAGTTTTATTGATATGGCAAAAAAAAATACATAATTTAAATTTCTGTATCAGAAGTTACAATGTAACTTTTTTTGCTTATTTCTTTGGAAACTGCTTTCTGACGAATGAAGCAATATAGCTTGACACAATGCTAAAACCAATTTAAAATCGGCCTTAACACATGAAATAAATCGGCTCCAACCTCCATTTTGCAGAATAATGCTTTCTACAAAACGTAACACATCTCCACTGTTGCACAGCCTTATTGGAAGTTTAGTATAACATAGATGATGAAGGTGATAAATGTCATCTTGATACATTTAAAGTTGTTTGCATAGACATAGAAGTTGATGTTGCGACCCCCATGTGACCACCATTTACTGAAACCATTTGCGGCAAGAAGGAGGAGGAGGAGGAGGAGGAGGCGGTTGTTGTTGCGGATCATCTTGATCTGGCTCGGGAGATCTCTGTTTTTTACGACGATTGGGTGTTTGACCATTTTCATAACGTTGACGTTTTTTTATAACGTCTGTTTTCATCGACAACGGACGTCGCTCATGATGTAATTTGAAGCTAACATAATAATATAATAATTAATTATATGTATTTAGATAATATAAATATATATATATAATTATCATTAAAAAAAATATATTAACTTTTATTATTTAATAAATACAAATAATAATACTTACTATAAACCACAAGCATTACAAAGCGTTTGACCTTCTTCGTCTCTTCGCCACAAAGGTGTAGTCATTGTACTACAATTTGAACACACAGGTTGGGCAGCTTCATCATCGCGTGCATCCTTCCGCACTATATGAGGTTTCATAGTTTTTGGTCTATCCATTTTATGTAGTTTAAGGCTATTTATGAATTAGAGAAATCAAGGTCAACTCTGATCTGATATCCATTCATTTACTATGTGAGTTAATATTTGTTTTTTTTTTTTTTTTTCTTTTATATGTTAAGTGACAAAAACAAATATAAATACTTACTATAAACCACACGCATTACATAAAAGTTCATCATTAGCGGAACGTCTCCAAAGAGGCGTTGAAGTTACACCACAGTTGAAACATTGTTGTTCACCATTAGAATGAGCTTTCTTTGGTTTACTTTCAGCTGAAGAAGTTAAAGATGAAGGAGTACGAGTTGCCATAGTTGAAGAATCCATCGAAGATGACGTAGATGTAGATATTGAAGGTATTTTTGATGAAGTACCATGCCCGGAGGATATTGAAGAATTAGTAGAAGTAGGTTGTTCTGATGTATATTGATTCATATATATTATACCCGAATTTGAAACACCGTTCAAAAGATTATTGTCATTAGATAATCCATTAACAGAATTACTCATTGACGCTATTAAACTTGAGTTAATAGAGGCAGTATTAACAGGAGAACTGCCGGTAGTTCTTGGAACGTAAACAGCTCCATGTATTCCTGAGCTCAAAGAACTAGACATTGGAAATTGCAAGCTTGATGTTTGTTGAGTGATTGTATCAGGAGGTAAAATGTTATTATCATACCACTCCATAGTAGGAGAATTTGGTTCTGAGGGTTCAGGAGATATATTATAAACACCAATCATTTGATCCAAGTCAAGTTGCATTATAGGTTGATGATTAGGATGTAATATAGCTTGAGCATTAATACGATCGAAAACACTAGGTAAAGAAACAACTTGAAATGGATCTTGATCACTAGTGTATTGGCGTAGAGAATACAAATTACGATTATGTACATCGGTCCATATGTCAAGAGATCCACCATCATTCATTGATGTAAGAACTTCATCAGTATCATCATGACCAACATCATGACCCACTACGATTTATAATTAAAGGAAAGAATAATATTAGCAAAAAATAAAAGATGAAATGGAAATAAAAAAGGGAAATTTAATTAAATAAAATAAAATGAACACACCGTTAACGAGCATACTTTCATCGATTTCGATTGTAGATTCAGTAATAGAAGTTACAGCGGCAACATTTTCATCATCTTTAACAATTTCAAATTCCAATTCCATTTTACAATTACCACCAACAATATCATTATTATCAGATTCATCATTATTATTATTATTAGAGATAAAATCATCGTTTGGGGTGGATTCTGTAGGTTTTGAGTTCTTTACGTTTTTCTGATTACCCTTTTTTGATTGCATTACGGGGGTAGACAGCTTTTTTGTGGACTTTTTCTTTCCTTTCTTCTCAGTTACAGTATCTTGTGATTTAGGTCTATAACTTGGAACAGGTAAGTCTTTAAGCTGAGTAGCTTTTTCTATTTCTAATTTTTTAGTAGTTGCACTTGATAATTTTTTAAATTGATTTCTAGTTTTTTGATCATGAACCATAAGATGATGCATAAACCAAAGGCGCCATGATAAATTTTCCAAACGCATTCCGTATTCTAAGGCATCTTTGACCTTTGTCATTAAGCGCCAAGTTTTTGATAAATCTTCATCATTATCGATAGTTGATAAAAGTGAAAAGGCTTTATTGCCTTTGATCTTAAGTTTAGTCGGTGCCATCGTATTATACTATTAACTGGTCAAACCAAAAAGATAAACCAATTTATGTTAAAGGAAATTTAATTTTTAAATATTCAATAGTTATTGAAATATATATAGTATATGTGTATTTATAGTATACGTATATTTATAGTATACGTATATTTTTATTTATTTATTTATTTTTTCTCTTTATAAAAACCTTACTGCCAAGTGTAGATTCATAAGAAAAGATTCAAGGAAGCCAAAGATTGCACTTGGTGTACATTTCTTTCACTTTCTTTATAAAACCTTAATAAGGAGATTTGTCACATACCTGCAGGTCCTTTTTTAACCGACAGTAGCTTAGTTATGGTATTGAGGAAAGATTAACGGTTGAATAAATTTGTTCAAACTTCGTAAGCCGTAAAGATTTATGTGAACCAAAAGACCAAGGTTAAAGAGAAAACAAGGGCCAAAATAAACTGTATATAACAACACTATAACGATTGTGTATAAAATAAAATAAAAATAAAAAAAAAAAAAAAAGAGGCGAGAGGGGAATTGTTTTTTTTGAAATAAGCAATCAAGAAATCACGGGGATAAACGCCTATAATTGGTTTTACGACTTTGGCGCAGCTGGTTTATATTCCCAAAGAATGAAGTGACAATTCGAATTATTCCAATAAATATATTATTATTCACATAGGGATTTGTTTATTATTATTTGGGAGAATGCATAGAATGCATGATATAAATATGACCGACATTTGAAGTAAATAATTCACGCCCAGTCCGTGATTTTGATGCAAATCTTATCCACTTAGTAATAACTCAACGTCGTTCTTATGCACACATGTTGCACTTCTTTCTAAACATAAAAAAAAAATGTGGGTAAATATTTGTATAGTTTTTGTACAGTTTTTTGTATAGTTTTGTTAGTACGGTTAGAATAATGGATTTTTAATTTCCCTCCATTCTACGTTTCTCATCCATTTGTATGTGATTTGTGATCATAACCTAGTTGAATATCGTCAATATTTGCTGCGCCTCAAATTCGGGTTGTTCGGGCATCTTCGGACTTCATGGCTGAATTTTATCACATTTTCACATTTTTCATTGATGTTTTATTTTATCACATTATATTTATCTTTATAATATATTAAATATATATTATATATATTAATATATATTAAGTAATGGATTTTCTATATATCCATATTTGACCCTATTTTACGCCTGCATGAATGTGTTTTCTTGAGTCATTGAAATTGATATTTTTGTCTAAGGCTATCAAAGCTCGGAAGTATATTCATCAAATTTTTCCGATGAGAAAAAATCCGATTTCTCACTTAAGTTCGGAAATTCCTAAGGAAAAAATATGTGATTACAACGAATGTGTTTTTATAAACTAACAACGACAATCGTTCTTTCATTTTATTGTCGTTACCTCTCGTTTTGTGAGAATCAAATGACGAGCTGCAGGTGATACAAACTTCGGTTTCACATCAGCCATTTCATATGCTTTTTTTGAATTGTGATATTTTTGAATTTTTAATTTTTTAAAAAAAATTCTTTTTAATTTTTAAAATATTCTTAAAATATTCGTTCCGGATATAATTATGCTTTTTTTGTGTCGGAAGATTATTGGTGAAAATAATGTCTTACGAAAATAAGTTTAAGCAAATCATTCCCAAAATTCATTAAATTTCGCTATTGAATAATCCGCGTGATCTGCACACCATGAATATCGTAAAGTAACACTTATCGGGTGTAATGTTACATTCTAATATTAAAATCTATATTTGGCATCTAGTGGCATAGCTTAAGGGGCGAATATAGTTATTCGTTTTTTTTTAAAATTGTCCTCATTAATTTCGTGTCAAATGCATATTTGGCTATCGTTATTTAATTGGCCTAAACGATATTCTACCTTAACTTCAGCCATGTGATACATGATGCAAATCGGCATTTAGCACTACTTGTTTTTATTGTAAAACATAAATATAACGATAATTATCTAAATTTAATGCATGTGGTTTATAGTAAGTATTTATATTTGTTTTTGTCACTTAACATATAAAAGAAAA